CCTGAAAGGAAGCCACCTGAATAAAATGGATTGAGGAGAATCCTCTAAGTTGCATCTACCTAAGCAGGAGGGTCCCATTCTGTAAGATCACATTGACTAGAAACTGCACAGTCCAATGCTCTGGTGCTTCAGTTTCCACCTATACTATGCACAGAAGCCATGCTCTCAGCACAGACCACGATGAAGCTGGATGTGGCTTAAGTAAATATGAGCTGTTCAAAGAAGCCTGAGCACTCTAGCAAGTACTTGTTAGGGAAAGTTTTAGCAAGCATTTTTGTCATGMTACTATATTCACTAAATAAGAAGTACAGCTGTATAGACCCTAAGAAGCCTCAGAATTAAAAATTAAAGAAAACTGTACTTAATTGTTAATGGAAAAGTCACCGAGAAGCTGGTGTTTTCAGAAAATTGCTCCAAACCATTTCCTAACCAAATTTATTGTAGCTGTTGAAAACATTCATCTGGATAACCAAGTATGCACTAATGGCAACAAGAAGTAAATACAGTATTCTCTTCTCCTGACACCTAAGTCCTAAATTAAGCTCAGAATCATGTCTGTAATTAACAGGCTAGCAGTCCAGAGTCAGTAACACAAAGCTGAGCCAGTCTCCCATATCTAAAAGGTACAGAAGCATTCAAGAAACCAATAAATAGGTCAACTCATTACTGTATTCTATACTCTGTATCTGGTATGATTCACCCATAAAATGAAAATTCTAATGTTCACACTCAGTTATTATAAATGCTTATATGTTACTATAAATATTTAATGTCCAGTTAGATTGGCAATATTAAGATCACTTTATTTTAAGCCTTATGGATTTTGAAAACATATACAAATAAAATATTTATAACAAAATTCCATTTCCTAAAGTTTCTTCAGGAATATACATCAAGCATGATCCCAGCACACAAATAAATGACTTTTACAGAAAGCATTACATAGAGCAATAAACACCAGTGAAACAGCCAGTCTTTCCAGATATTTTATAATGAAAAGTTCTCTTACCTTTTCCCACATCTAATATTTGACTAAGTTTGTTTTTTGGTTTGTTTTTGTTTTTTTTTTAATAGCCATGTCTGAATTTAAAATGTGTAACCAAACGGATTGTGGAAGTCAACAGGCACTCAGAAGCCCCAAARGGGAGAGTAAGCACTATTTTTCAAGTTCACTAGTTCAGGGGTAAAAATCCCTGAGAGATAGAAAAACACTAAACCCATTTTCTTCAATGGAAAGATACTTGTCAAGGGACATTGATAACAAACAGCCATAAAGATAAGCTGTAAAGCTGAAGAGCAATAGTAAGACTAAGCAAGGAAACCAACCTGTAACTCTAGGTAATGAGGAATGCTTGGTGGAGCAGCATTGTGGGACTTCACCAAGGCTGCCTGCYTGCAAGGAAAGTACTCAGCAGAGATATGTGCAGAGATACAAAGCACAAGAAATGTACGTGCTAACCTTGTCATTAAGATGGAAAGCTCTTACAGTGTATGCTAAAACTATAATCCCATTTAGTTATAAACAGTATGCAACTGACTCTCAAGAGTTAAAATACAAACAAGAATAAACAAAATATTGCACTTCAATTTCAACRTCACCATCAGGACATTTATTATATGAAGCCAGTAAATTAAGAAAYACATCCATATTTTCTGATCGATGCCAGTGCAGAACTGCTCAGCAACAGGTGTTCAACAGAGCAGGTCACTGAATTCTCTGGGACCTGGAAACTGATCTCAGAAGCAGCTTGCCTCTGACCTTCCACCTCAAGTCCCCGAGCTGCTGCTGGACATCAAAACAGCTCTACTGYTTCTACTTTATGAGTCATACCCTGCAGTGTCCTGTTCCTTGCCACATACTGTGACAAGGGTCCCCGACTACATCCCTTTCCTTAAGCCTATTGTGCGTACAGAAGCTGCACCACTGAATGACRATGCCATGCTGATTTTCAGTGTTATTTAACATGGAGGCAGGTCAAGCTAGCTAGATCAAGCGTGAGTTCACTTGCACTGTTCACTAAGGCTGATCTGAGCCTTCAGAGTGGTGGAAAAAAGCCATGGCACTTTCAGGTTATTGAAACATTCAAAGCATTAAGAAGCCCGTTACATCTGACAGACATCAAGCACCACAATAAGGAACACTAGGAGGAAAGTGTGGCATAAATAGTGAAAACAAGTCCAAGCAGACCAATGTAAAGACCTAATTCTAAAGGTTAATATACGTTTCACAACCAGTACACTTAGCCTGTGATCAGCCACAGGTTTAAAACTATTAGCAAATAAACAGGAGTTCTAAGAGCAACCTTTAGGTTCTGACCTAAAGATCTATAAATACCACTGGAGGGATGATCTAGTTTGAAATCAGATTATCTTTAAACTAACTAGAAAGCAATCATGCTTACGCAAGGCCCTCATGCCCGTCACACTTGCTCCAGAGCAGGACAGCAYTCTAAAGAACAGATGTTGACAGCATGTGCCCCTGTGCTATTTTAACATTGAGTTTCCTTATATTATTTATATCACTTCCTTAAGAGGACAGTAGTTAAACCTAGCTACCCCAACCCCACTTCAGCCCAACCATGCATCCAGTTTTGTGCTCAGTTTACCAGAATGGGAAGAGAAAGTTATCAGGGATTTGCTGATGTGTTACTTTATCAAAAGGCCTCAGGAAAACAGCAGCTAGAGAGGAAGAACACGTCACCTTTCCCAGCAAGGCATTCTCCACTGTGCTTACCCTGAGGAGGAGACACATCAAACTGTCACGCTTTAATTTGTGCAGGCTTTCCCTCTACAAAACCATTATATTAGGGCATTTGTTCCACATAGGGATGTGCGGTTTCATGGAAAAACTGCTGTTCCAGTTCTCTAAACAGATTCTCCAGACTTCAGGCCTCTGCCCTAGATTTAGGTCACTAGTAATTGGACATGTGTAGAAAATGCACAGGCTCAATTCAGTGTTGCCTAATTAATTTCTTAGTCTGTTGATTTGGCAGTCGCCCCACAAAACAGAACAGTTGGATACTTAAACTTGTGTTGAAGGATACCTTATGACACTAGCAAGCCTCCCAAAAATAAGCCCAACTCTTTTGGTAATAATGAAATAAATATTTTAAACTGCCTGGAGTACAAAAGTAAAGTCAGTTTTCGCAGGTGAGACTATCAGCTTGGTTCATTAAAAGAAAAATGATGAAGCACAGCACAGAATGTAGAAACCCAAAAACTTCACCTAAGGAGACCTTCTTAAGACAAAGGACAGAATTGACAGGTGCCAAAGTCTTGCAACCTATGGAGCAAAATCAAATGCACCAGCTTTATTCTGACATATTATATTCCCAAGCAACTGGTGAGCATATAATCAACCATAAGCTAATRTCACAGCCTGAAAGAGAGGGTTCTGCACAATATTTTGATCTGTATGAGAAGCCTTTCAGTATTGCAACTGCTCTTGGAATAGCATATTCATGATGAAGGAAAGCTCAYCCACTGAAATTAGAATTAAAATTCTTTCAATTCCTAGGCTTCTGCCACAGTATTTTAGTCAACTTACTTGATTTTTTTAAAATCCTTCTTGAAGGACACAGAACACTCCCACTGTGCTGAGCCCTGCCCATTCTGCCAAGCTTTCTGTAGGAGCTCACTTGACTGCCATCTATTCCCTTCACCACAGGTCCCATGTGCTTTTAGGTAGTTTTGGCTTAGGCCTAAACAGCAAATGAGAAGAGACAGATGCCTCTCTGCAGGAATTTTCCTCACTGGTGACCCTGGGGTTTGAGTTGGCAGAGCTAGCTGAACCTTACAAGGTGGTTGCTCTACAAAACAGCCTTATAAAACTCTATTCACATAATAACTGGAGTAAAATATTTACTTCAGATCAGGCAGTACTGTATTTTTTGATGGAAAAACAGGCTCAGTGCMTGAGCAGACAGTTTTATGGCACTTTAAAGGTGACCTAACATGCCTACCTTGATTTAAAATAAAAACACATTCCAGTTCCTTTCATTAAGAAGTGAACTCTGCCAATAAAAAGGACCTGAAGACTGAAACTCACTGTAACAGTACTGAAAGGGAACAAACAGATCTTCTATCCAAAAGCCTTGCATACAGGGGCACTCACATGGCTGTTAAAGTAAAAACAACATACAACAGTATTTCCAAAAAGCTTAATATAATCTTTTGAGTCTGTAAACTCTAAACAATAAATAGGAAAAGTGTACATGGCACACCAGAGCAGCTAAATATTAAAACAAACAAGTACAAATTGGTAACACTCACCTATATTGTCACTGATAAGTTTGTTTCGCTACAGCGATATAATACAAGCTTAATATACAAGATGTTTTTACAAAGGAAAACCACAGAACAAAGTTAATACAGAAGGTGACAGAGAAGGGGAGACAATAAATAACAAGGCACAAAAACCTCTCTTGCTGCAACCCTGTAAGGCACCACTTGTGCAAACATGAAACTATCAAAACCTGTAGTGGAGACATTCTAAATATGTTTAAATCAATGGTTAATGTATTTTAAATATGACACTATGCTTATATATTTGTAAATAAAAATGCATATTTTAAAAGTCAGATCAGTGAAATGGGTGAATTAATAGCCAAATACAAGAGTTACAGCTAATTTCTCTCAGACAGCTCTACAAGTGCACTTTGACCTTAACCTCTACCGGCCGTGCTAAGAGCCCTGGATCAAATATGGTGCAGAGGGAAAACTATGCTGCCAAACTATGTAAAGGTGTGGCACACCAGTGATTTTGACGAAACACACTTCAGGGATTAGGATGAGAATAAAATTATTTTCATTTAAAACCAAAAATTATTTAAATCAAGAGGTAAAAGGTCAGTAGCATTAATCTAACATCATAATTAGGGATCTTAATACCCGAAGTTATAATTTATACCTCTCTTCAAGAACTGGGCACCAAAATTTTTCTTCCTTATTGTGCTACCTGCTCAAAAAATCTATCATGAGACTTTTTCTGAAGTCTTCTCCCTTACTAGAAGATTAGATACATAGTTAAGTGCATAAACTCTAAGTTTTCTTTTTTTCTTATGTTCATGATCTCTACTGCAGCCTTCTACAAGTTTTTGTCCTCTCTCCAAATACATAAAAATCTCTAAAGATATTATCTCTAAGATACTAAAATTACTTAAAATATGCACAGGTTGGACAAGTTTTTATAAGATGAGAAGGGTATTCACTAATAACCAAAATTTTCTTCTATTGAAACATTTATGAGGCACTCAAGTTTCTCATGAGCTTCAGACATGCAACTTTTTTGTAATTTGGAACGTCAGTAGATTGCATTTCCAAAAGTTCTGCTCKCATTCTTGCACCTTGAACAACTGCACAGCACACGGTAAACACTCGGAACAAACCTGACGATTCAGTTATTGGTTAGGTTTTGTTTTCTTACGTGATTTATCTTACTTTACACTTAAATACCTTGCCACAAATCAAAACATTTAAGCTCAGACAACCTGCAGCTTTAGTGATGCTCAATCTACTGAGCTGCCAGAGAGGAAAATTGATCTATTATATTTTTAACAACAGAGGAAATGGAAGAAAAAACAGTCTYAAGTGATAAGGTAACATTCATATAGCTATTTGTTGAAAGGCTGTGCCAGCTTAGGCATGCTTAATTCTTTATATTCAGTCCTGTTTTAAGGATATAAAAATTTGAGCAAATACAATGTAAACAGAGCCAAGTAGACTGCAGTAGTAAAGGACAAAATAATTGATCTGACAGGTTTAAGGCCAACTATTTATGATTTGAATTAYGTCATACTTTTCCATGGCACTTAATACACTGAAAATTAGTACTGGGTGACACTAAGCAAGGGAATACGTACTCAACTATTATGCTATATTTACATGGAGCTTCAGTTCCTAAAGTAGAAAGTTCAAGTTTTCTTGTCCAAATAAAATTAATTTGTGAAAGACCACCTGTGGTTTCCTATACTGAATAAAGTAATATTACTATTTAAATCAATTTAGTGCAAACTGACCTAAGTCCAAAGACATACCATTCTTTGATTTTTAGTCACTACTTACCAAATGCCCCTATTTCTTTCAAAAAGAGACTTTTTCCCCCTTAAAAGAACAGCAAACACTTGACAATTAGCATGCTGTTCTAGTCTACATTAACAAAACTTGTTGAAATACAAATCGTGTTTTGGTCATCCAGCACAGACCCATCCTGAAAATGACCCATCTCTCCATTTAATCAGTCTAGAAGAACACAGTGCCAGATTTCAATTAGCAGGTCATCCTGGCCACTCCGTACTCCAAGCTGACAACGGCGGGCTCAGCTTTGGAGAACTCGGACACAAGCTCAGTGTAGCGATTGTCTGCTGTGTTGCTGCCCTCTATGGTTCGCACGGCGTCATTCACAGGCATAGGCGGGGGCTCCTTCTGGAAGCACGGAGGGGTCTTCAGCGTCACGGGGGCAGGATGAGCAGTCTGCTCCTGTTCCTTCACAAGCACCACATCTGGCTGCCCGTTTCTCTGCTTTATTTTCTGAAATACAAAGGGCAGTTGCTAACAGCCRGCAYGACCCTTTACTATTAATACTGYGCTYTTAAAGGAAAYKTATMCCCTTCTTTTGCTGGCCAACTCMGTGTCTGCAGAATTCTGTATTACAYACCCTACACAMGRTATGTAACAGTAATGTTAAATGTTAGGCCAYTCTTTATGACACTATCCCCTACAGTTTACAGCAGATGCTATAAGCACCGTTTRYTTAAAATTTGCAGCTGAGCAGAAGACAGAAAGATTGCCTATCAATGTCCCTAGAGAAGCAGAGGTTCTTCCAGGGTTGCCCCTTGTTTTGCTGTTATCAAGATAGGAATACTTTGTGAAGTAGAGGCAAAAGATAGGCCTTGGTACTGTAGCAATCAGGGAATCATGCAGTCTCTTAAAGACCACGAGTCTCTTAATGACAAAGCAGTTTGATACCTAAGGCCCTTCTATCCTTCCTRAAAACCTTCTAAAAAGACTTTTCCAAAATGACAATACAGTATGTTCAAATGCTAATTTAGCATAATGAATACGCTAAAAAATGTCAACTAAGGAACACGATAGGAGAAAAGGATGTATTCTGCCAGCATGAGCAAGAGAATAGGAAAGATTTGGATTAAGGGACTTTTCAGTTACACAGTTTGGGTTGTTCGCTTATATTGTTTTTGTTTTTAATTCACACTCACTAACCCCACAACTGGGGGCTTGCACTGGTTCACTGAATAGATCTGTTTGCTGATGTGTTTGTGTTCTATTAGAATTGAGACTAAGCCCAGAAGACTGGTGTCTCTCGACATCAACTTTTTACAGACGGAAACAGCAATAGCAAAGCCTATATGAAGATTTCAAACAACTACATCTCTTCATMATTCAGTCAAGTGAGAAATGTAAGCTCAGGTGAAACTAACATCTTGGAATAAGGTTCTCGAAAATTCAGAACTGAGACTTCACTTTACATCGGACTTATTCTTTAGCTTGCTTCATCTTGAGTTTTTTCCAGCTTGCTGCCTCAATTATATAAAAGTATTTAAAWATAAAATTAAGATTTGAAACAGTATTATATTAAGCGACCTGCATTTACTACATGCCAGTAGGATCAGTCTTATAAAAAGTTTCCTCCTAGAAAAGTTGAACTTCCCTACTCTCCCTGCTAACATAATATACAGGAGTTGTGCTACYGTTTCTGTCCATACACAAGTATTAAAACTGATAATCAGAAGACTTTTGCATTCCTTAAAAGGCATTATTCTTGAAATTTCAGCACTTTAACTGACTGCAACAGAAGCATCAATCAGCCTTTCCWGGCTGTTTACTGTAGTACCTAAATGTCAATTATAGATATCTGATCTCTGGATTTAGCTCTGTCTTCATAAAAGCATCACAACGTACATGATCCATAAATATGGTGACTTGCAACAGCATGCACCTGCATATAAAGTTAAAAGAAGGACAATACTTACTGCTTCCATTTTAGTAGCTATAATAGAAACAAAAAATTTTCAGTCTCCTTAGTTTAGCAACACAGCTAACAGCATATCCCATGGATATCTTGTTATCCAAGACAGTTTTATGTAAGTTCTGCAAAACTTACCTTCAGTAAGGCTTTGATGGTAGCACTTTTACATAGTACAGTTCATTAATAAAGCAGGACGAATAGTGCCTAAGAACAGTCATCATAGAAGCAAACAGTGCAAGTTCAAGTCACCATTACACAGAGTAAGTGCTAGGCCATATGGCAGTGACATTCCTGASAAAGCTAGCCAGCACTATTACAACTACAATTTGAAGAACAAGTCACACACACTTATTTTGGAATACTTACAGCTTCCAGTTCTTTAATGTCTTCCTCCAGTTGTTTATTTTGCTCACTCGTATTCATGATAAGGCTGAACATAGACTGCCTGGGATGCATACTTCGATCAAACTGATGGTACATATTTCTCCAAAACCTGCATCAAACACACAGATTTAAGTATGCAAGATAATAACAATGCTGAAGAAAAGCTACTGTATCTTATTTAAACTTACTTAAAATTGAATGACACTGTATTAGGTTCCAAAAGAGTTAGTTCTGGAGAAAAGTCTGGATTATAGAGAGGATTCTGATATTTCTTCTGTTCAGTCAAAAGGAATGGCCACAAGGAATAGGTCTTYTCTTTTAGTCTTAAAGCAAAAAGAGATGGAAGTCAACATCAACATAWGACTGCAAGCCAAAAACAGAAGATACTGCCTGTGGTGTGTAAGTTTTGCCTACTTGAAATAAACGCTTTTAAAATACCATGTGAGATAAATTGATAAAAACAGAAGTTTTCCAACTAAATGCATTGGAATATATTCTACTAATACTTCTAACTGAGTCATCTYGAGCAGGCAAGAATTTTAAGGTTACTTAGAGATTGGGAGAGAAAATCATATGACACTTCCAAACTTAAGCTTACCTACTCTTAGAAGGGGAAAAAAACTAAAAACAGATCAGAAGGAAAGATATCTTAACTTTCCCTATGAAAAATTAGCATGTGATTTTCTCCCAGAATTAGAAAGACTGTCTTCAGCATGCAAAAGTACAAGAAGCACTGCTGTTCCCTGATGCAGTACAACATAGTTTCAGCACTACCAATCCTTCTCTATTCAGAGYCTAAAATGAAGAAGATTCATGGAAGTTCTTAGTCTGCCAGAATAAACAAAAGACACATTACAATGTGCCTGGCTTACTTTAGCTCTTCTCGTTCTTTTTGACAGTTTCCAAGGAAGTTACCGAACTGGCAAGAATGGACGTGTTCGTGAATTTGAAGGAGGAAAGCCTCATTGTACTCAAAGGCTTGTGGGAACTGCTCAGTCAGATTCCACACACTTTCTAAAAACTGGGTGAACACTGGTGAGATCTCTTTTGGATCACCATCCAACTGACAACATCTGAAAAACATTCCATAAACAGATTGAAACTGGTTTAAATTAGAAATAAAAAAGTCTTAGCTGCAATTGCTTTTAAATGACAACACATTAATCTGACACTAGCTTTAGTTTGAAAATTGAGCACCTAACTTCAAGAACTGGGGCAATTTTTGAATAGAAATAAGTCTATATTTAACCTGTTTTTCTGACTTATAAGTAATCACACATCTATATTCAGTACAAAATAGCAACATAAGACAGTTAAATTCCTTTGTGTCTAATACTGTCAACATTTGGAGTATACCAGCTAAAAGCAAATTAATAAGCAGTAAATAGCAGCAAGGCTATCGTTATAGCTGATGACAGACAGATCAAGGGAAAAACCAAAACTCTCAACATATAGGACTTCTAAAGGTAGGCATGACTTCATCATCAAAGTAAACATAAATGCAAACTTATCTTTAAAGGCACCAAAACTACGAGTTTTATATTGCCTAAATAGCTGGGACATAGCATTGGATGGGTTTTGCACTGTCAATACATAGGTGCAGACCTTTCTGCAGTCATCAACTTCTGAGAGCAAGGCACCAATAGYACTAAAAATTTATGTCTACAATATAAATCAATTACTCAACATGCATTCGAATAAATTGCAGTACACTACAGACAGCARAAGAAGTGCCTTGTGTACTGAAAACAGCTTACTCATTGCTGAACTACTGCAGCTTCACTAGCAATGCAACATCTACAAGCTCTCTTTTGTTTAAGAATACTTAGATCAGTATGCTGTATACATTTTAATATATCAGAGAAGTGAACTACCTGTCAGAGAACTTGTGCCCAAAAGAGATCCAGTCTTTCTCTATCAAGACCTAGAGGATAAAAAAACCAACATCTCATGTAAAATATTAGTCAATCTTACACCTACAGTATTAACCCCACAGGTTATCGATATACTTTAAATTGGAGTCCAATAAGCTACAGTAGAAACAACTATTTATCAATTTGTAGCTTCTTTAGTTTTTATCAATTTGTAGCTTCTTTATTTTCTTGGAAGCTTTTCATGAGATTCTCAAAGCACATTTCTAAAACTARTAAARAARGTTKAGCAGCTTGCTAATCAGATAACTRATAATTTTAAGAAAAGCATTGYATGGCTTCACCAGTAGATTATTAACTTGCAAGATATGGCAAAGAATAAAAAACCTTTTAGTATTGCATGCCTACTGTCATAGTTTACATAAAACCACATCATATATTCTTTCTAACATTTATAGCAGTAAGTTTGTCAATATCAACAACTACTTTGTTTTATCACTTCAGTCACACTASCAAGCACCAAAACGAACACAGGACCTCCACAGAAATTCAACTGAAAGAAAGGATTAATCAAAACCCCAAAAGATTAAATTAATTTAATCCTAAAGATTACATACATTCTCACTATTCACAACAAATTAATACATTTCTAATTCTTCCCAAACTTCACTTTCAATGTGTAATATTTGAGGCAGTTAGCTCTAACCAATACATGGAACTAGTTTTATGTACTATCCTTGAGGAGGTCCCATAACACTTGCCCTGTGACTGCAGCACACTAATGATTTCCCTACTCTAAAATTTGAAATTATCATATGTAAATTCTTCTCTCTATATAAAATTATGAAGAAATTTAGATTGCTTTAGACATCTTTAGGTCTCTGTCACCAGGGAAGCTGTGATTTTTAGATTTTAAAATGTTGTTTTGGAGACAAGCAATAAAACACAGAGCTGCTGTAATTTACTACATGAACTATCTCACATAAGCACTTTAGAATCCTTCCATACCACAGACATGGAACTTATTTGGATGCAAAAGGCAATCATTGTAACATTTCTGCAGGGTGACTAAAGYGATCTGCTACTTGTATTTCAGTTTTTTAGCTTTTAAATACATTTTTTTTAGATAACGAAGTATTTCTGTAAGAAAGGTTTATCAATACACTGCAAATTTAATTTYACCCTTGTAACCATAAAAAAGGTCAGTATGTTTACTCTGCTCCCTTTCACATTCAAACATTTTACACCCTTTCTTTACCAAGGAGCAACTCAACATCGCAATAGTCTGCTTACCATGAATCCTTTGATTGTTCTGTAATAGGAATCTAGCAAGAGAGCTCCAAGAGAACAAACTTGGGAAGTCCTATCCCAGCCATCTGAACAGTGCACCAATACACTTGCACTCTCAACTGCTATTGCCTGCAAAACACAATTGCTTCTTAATAGATGTTCTTACTAGTTCTAAAATAGTAAATAAATTTAAAAGCTACATTATTTCCAACTCATACCACATGCCACCTTATTTAACAAAGCTAGAAAAATGTTTACTATGAGGAAAAGATTTAATACTATCAGAAAGTAGGAACCTCTCTTCATCGATTATAAAAAATTCCTTGAAAAGAAAAGAAATTCCMCTACCACCTCTGCGTAAGCTAACCTCCACAGGGGTTCCCAGTTCTCTCTCTCCCCTATAGAACTATATGTACAAGAAAATCTAACAATAATTCAATCACACATCAGATTAAAAAGTACAGATTAAAAAAAAAAAAAACATCAATACATCATTAAAGATACCACTTATTTATCATTAAGCCATATAAAAGTAAAGGCCTAGGAAATTATTTCTTAGCTGAAGCTAATAAACAACTCCTGTTAGCTCAGAAATTTTTGAGGGTCATCTTTAAGACAATTACCCACTTTCAACTGAAGTAACTCCTTGTTATTTCACCTAGCAAAAACAAAAATCCAGGTTTTTTCTTTACCCAGTCCCAYCAGGTCAAGCCCTTGGCTTCGTAAGTGCCTGGCAAAGGCAATTGTTCCTCTGAATTCTTCACAGAGTCCTATTTCCTTGCCAAATGAAGTCAGCATAGCCACCTTGGCTGCTGTACAATTACCRCCCCAGTTCTATTTTGCAGGATACAGTGAATAATAGTTTGTTCCATCCACCACCAAACTGGTTACACCTTTCAAAAATACCTAGAGAACCACAAAGCATAAGATCCCTTTGTCTCCCAACAAGATAACCAAAGAGCATTTAAAAAATCCCAAAATGTTAGCTGGCATATTTGATCTCTCTAATCATAAAGAAACACGAAATGCTTATACCAGCATATTAGATRTACTGGTGTATATATACACTAAGCAGTCACCTCCAAAAAGGTCAACTGCAGAATTTTACACATTACACAATATTAAGCATAACTTTTCTGGTAGGAAGTCAACTTCCTATCAAATAAAGAAGTAGCATGCAAGTTACCTTTGCCAGGAAGACAGCAGCATCCAACACAGCTTTGACATGACGCAGCCATCCAGAGTTCTCCAGACCAGACAAAAAGTCATTGACAGACAAACCTCTTGTGCCACTGACTGAAAGAAACCAAGAGTTAAAAATCTTAAGCAGCTGCAACTACCTACACTCTGTAATGTAGAAAGTAGAAGAATTGCATATTTTTTCTAATCCCCTATGTTCTAAGTTGAGTGGTAGTTTCCTGAAAGATTTCTAATCAAATGGTTAAGGCAGAATTCAACTCTGTACTACAGTAACCATGAGTGACAAGAGTAGGTTCTTTCTGTTTTTTTGACAAAATAATATTCCAAGTAAATACACTGGTTATTCCCACTAGGAAGCCTTACCCTTGTCTTACCAAGGAAGGCAATGCAAATGCTGAAGGCTTATTGGAAGTAATTACTGCTACTTGTAGAGAAGTAGCTGCATCCAGACAATAYAGAGAGTTCAGAGTAGTCACACACTGCCAGAGTTTCATCACTTTCACCCTGCTCTGGAGAATAAAGTAGGTGCAGTACAAGAACACAGGGATGAAAACAAATCCATTGAGACTTTGTCTACCATCAGACTTGACACATTACATTTCTGACTGATCCCTACCCTTCTTCCCTAATAYACTTGGATCCTGCAGCAATAAGGTCAATTCAGAGGGCAAGGAAGAACTCAAAGAAAAGATGCTTAGCTACAGTAGAAACAAYTATTAATCACTTTGCATCTTCTTTACTTTCTTGGAAGCTTTTAATGAGATTCTCAAAGCACATTTCTAAAACTAGTAAAAAAAGTTTAGCAGCTTGCTAATCAGATAACTGATAATTTTAAGAATAATATTGCATGACTTCACTTGTAGAAGTGTAACAACAAGATATGTAGAGGCAAACTAAAAGATTCTCCCACAGACACCAACTCACACATGAGAAGATAATGTGGCTCTYGTACAATTTTGAATAGCAACTCACCCAGTTGCATTACTGTCCAAACATGACAAACTTCTGGCAATTAAAAAAAAAATTTGCTGACTAACATTACTTCAGCTATGTGTAATTCTAAGAGAAGACACTCAAGGCTGCCAGCTACAAAAATACCTGCTTCTTCCACACCGGAAGCCTACTTTCYACTAAGCTTAACAGCTSGACTTGATGATCTTAAAAGTCTTTTTCRACTTAAATGATTTTGTGATTCTAAAGCATTGGGCCCCCGATGAAAATAAAAAGGTTCTGTAGATGAAAGTCAGCAGTAGAGATCGYGCAGCTGCAAAATCATCTTTATTTCTGACCATGGAAGGAAGTGAGTCAGCAGCAAAAATAAAGAACAAAATTCAGCAAATCATTCTGTGATGCAGCTTCATATTTAATTAAGTCCCTTGATGTAATGAAGGCTATACACTCATATCATTGTCTCAGAGCTTTTCTGTATCTGCACTAGWTGTTTCTCAGCTTTAAGCCAAATGAGTTTTGGCTCATACCCCATTGCTCAGGAAGATTCATAGTGCCAGGTACTGCTGAATAGTAGAGGAATGACAGGCTTCCAAATAAGTATTGAAGCACCTTTTCCAAAACCCACAGATCTTCATCATCTATAAAATGATCTAGTAAACCACAGCACAATGAGATAACAAAACATCAAGAAACCCTACAACAGAACATCTACTTCTAAAGGTTAGTCTGTAAATATCAGTAARAGAAGTAAATGCAAGCTAGTTTTCYCTTKTCTTTGAAGGGCAYGATTAGGCAAGAGTTTTGCTYCCAAAAGATCTAGCACATGGARGAAATCAGATGAGAACRTGAAATAGCTGAAAGGATCAAATMATTCTCTATACCAGCGGTGCCATACACATGATCAGTCACAACAGTACACAAACAGGTCCACCWCTCTAAGGTAAAGGAAAGAAACGGAAAACAGGCAAGTATCTACAAATTCAAACATTGGGAGGGAAGTGTCTTGGGTTGATGTTGTGCCAATCCTGTATTCCTATATTCCATCAGCTTGTATGCCCAAAATGTGTCTGTGCCTTTAAATCTGACCCAGAAGAAGGGGCAGGGGTGGCACGGGCAGTTTAAAAGCCAGGGCTGCTGCACAGCCATTGGCTTTTGGACCTCAGCTCGGTGCTGCTGGAGTCCTTGCTCACTGCTTGCACGGGGAGTTACGCTGTTGCCATTTAGCTAGCTCAGGTTTGTTAGCTTGGGCAAAGAGCTTTCCCTGGAGTGCCACCCACTTCTCTGACTCTTGTGATTTTTCTTCTGGAGCAATTCGGCAGCTGGTGGGGACAATCTGCGCAGCTCCGTCTCATCTCAGACTCCAGAAGAAGCCAAGCCAGCAACAGAAAAGCACACCAAGCCCTCTGTTACATCCACAGTGGGGACTGCCATCAGGTTTTCCATTGTTGCCCAGGCACCACGTGGACTTTTTTCTTTTGTTTCTTTTTCCYGGGGACAGAAGCCACCATCTTTTTCTTCGTACCACGTGGTTGAGCGGCTGTGGGGGGAGGGGGCGGCATGTATTCCTGAGCTTTAAATATCAAATAGTTACTAAGTTACCTTTCTATCTGTGYCYTGTGGGCACTGTGTTTTGTTAATAAACTACTTTTTTTCTCTTCACTTTTGCCAAACATTTATTTCATATTGGTGGGAAAAAACTATCACATTTTTCACTTCAGAGGAAACATTTACTCTGTAACATTTTTTCTCTGAAAACACTGTCTCAAACTGAGACAGGAAGGAATTGGACAGACAAAGCCAGGTCTAGAGGTATTCTTCATGGCAGTGCATTCACACATTCYGTAACTTTTGGTTTAAAAGGCACAAGCTTTCCAGCTAGAAAACAAACAGGCTTCCAGCGCTCAGTTTGTTTTCACCCAGACACTGCTGTCAAAATCTGCTTTTGATCACAATTTTCAGCTTGGCAGAAATATTTTACCACTAGTATTTTYCCTTTCTAGCTAGATTTCTATATTTTTATAAACGAAGGCAGAGATAGGAACGCATATGTTGAGCCTGAAGAGTTACTTTCAATTGCTATGTATTAACACAAGCATTTTTATACTATTTGGTGATTAAACCAATTGCAAAAAAAAGGCTTTTTCCAGTTCCTTACAGTCTTTTAAAAGGGCAAAGATGGYACTTATGGTACCACTAAGATAATTCAGCTACTTCACAATAAATACAACTCAAGGTGGTTCTGCCTATATGGATCCCATCACAAAAACCACAAGTCCTACATGCACATGAGCCCCAAAAGCTCAGCGCTCCCTTGCTTGATTGTTCTTATTCATAYTACTAGCAAAGCCTCAGGCAGCAGTTCAGGAGGTGACTAGACCTGCAGACTGAAGCACAGCAGGTTGCAGGCACAGGTTGTTTTTTAACAAATAAAATCTAAACAATCCCTTTCCCTAYACAGAAAACTCCACATAACTCACAAACCTCACTCAGCTAATACACGTTCACCATCAAAAAATATGCAACATATTGCAGCAGCTATTATTGAGCCTTTTCCCCAAACATTCTGCAGAAATGCTGCCTCTTGATATACACAAAACCCTTTTGCTTATCAATCTTTTCTGTTATGCAATATTGTAAATTAAATAAATAAAAACTGAATTTTGTATTTAACACCACAGCTACAAATTTAGCCTATGTGAAGTTTCTCCCATGAGTGTTGTAGTCTGCTCATCGGAGGGGGCAGAATTAKAACGTTCATGCTGAAGAAAACCATTTTAGAAAAGTTTTGAACCACTGCATCCAAGATATTCAAGTAACAGCTGAATCCAAAATGAAGGATAGACTGTAAATCCCCCTAGCATGCTCCATAGTGCAATCCCATTACAAAAGGATGCTGGGAAAGACTATGTCTCACATTCAGCTTGCCAGTGGMATCATTAGATTCTGAAGGCAATCAGGCAGACAGACACAGAGCTGAGGAGCAGGACACACACCAAACAATGAATAACAGTTGTTTGTTATAAAAAGTCCAAACAACTGAGGGCCGTCCCAGTTACAATGGTGCCTGAAAAAACAGCGTCACTGGTATCACACTCTGATTTGAGAACATTCTGTTCAGCACACCAAGGGGAAGTGAGTACACAGAAGCTAAATGGCATTTTTCCTCATTTTAAGCTATGAACCATTTTCATGGGCACATTTCTACAAGGGGTTGAAGAGTAAATTATTGCCCACATTCCTAAAGTTTAAGAGTCCTTCCTACCCTTGAAGATGCTTCTACTTCTAGAGTGACATTCAGCAAAATTCTAGTGAACCATACAGACTGRAAAGAGGTAGAACAACTGTATTCATTTACCAAAAAAGCTTATCTGAAGAACAAGTAATAGATATCACTCATTATTTATTTCAATAGTGTTCACACAAACCGGTTCTCCACATAAGGAAAAACTAAAACATATTTCACCCTCACAGAAACCTACAGACATATTTAGTAAGTCTGCTGGTGGGATGYCAATTCAAATGGAAGGAACATGAAGTCTATGAAGCTTAACTGTGTGATGCACTCACTTGTGCATCAGACATTATTACACAGGAGGAGGCCTCTTAAAAAAATAAATTAACAAGATTTATTAGCTAGTTTTCCAAMATTAAAGATATTAGTAAGAGAAAGAGTGATTATGCCAAATCTAAAAACTCAAGCTCAGGATCATTCTTCTCATCCTTCCTTTAGAMAAAATACATGCAGGAATAACCAGAAAGATCCATGTTATTGAAGCTCAGTACGATTCCATGAGGAGTGCCTGAAGAATAAGTTAGCAGTATATCCAGGATGAATGAAAACGAAGATTACCCCATTAGTCTTTCGGATTTCTTGATTAATGTAGCCAGAATGCCTTCATCAAAATAGGCTTCCATACAAGCATAAACCTTCTTCATGACTGGAAATACCTACATAATTCTAAAAGCCAAGCACTTACACATGTACTGTCTGTCAGGAGTGGAAGCCTCACTTCTGCCACTGTATTCTAATGTCAGTATTAGTACTCCACAAAATGTCTTAACTTTTCTCTCAGCTGTCTACCTAAAATAATATTACCAGAATTATGGATACACTTCTGCTTCTCCGTTTYCACCACCAGGAGGCAGGCAGTGGTATGGTGAAGTGGCTCACATTTTCCCTGCTCCCTTCTCTGCAAACACCTACAGGCACACAAGGGGCTCGCCCAGTTAAAAAGCTCAAGTTTTGTACAGACCATATGYTTATTGTGAATTCTGTGGAACAAAGTGCTCCTTGAAGAACTGATATTCTTTAAATTAAAAGGTAGCTAGAGACACACATTTGGAAAACACAGCAGTCTTTCTCACTGACATACTAATAAAGTTCACTAAAGACATATGTACAATTTGATTTTCTTCCAAATAACTCCATTCAGTTGGTTAACAGTTTGAAGGTCGAGGTTTAAGGTAATTCATTATCCCAGAGCACAGCAAACTGGTACTAAACACAGAGCTGGAATAAACCATAGCAATGTCAATGCAGTTTGTGTAACCTATTACAAAAGGCTTCAGAAAAACACTTATCCTGTTATTAGGATAAGTCCTTATTTCATATACATTATTTTAGTACAGTTAAAACATACCTTCCAGGAGTTTTTGCAAGCTAGATCTCATTACATGAATATTTTCAATGCCAACAAACTGGAACCTAATGTTTGAGTAGTTGTCTTCATTCTCATAGCCCTTCCCAGCAGCTCTGTTAGCCATTGCATTAAGCTTAAAAGAGGAAAATAAAAATACTGAAAAAAACTTGGAATAAAAATATCAAATTAAGAAACAAAAGTCAGGTAATTTCAACTGAATACATCAGGAAAAAAAACACAAGAGGACATAGTATAAACAGATTCTAATACACAGTTTGCAGCAAATCAGCTTGAAAGCTCTGAAGTGTAAGAAAGGGACACTGTACTAAAAAAAAAGCAGTCTGTATTTAGAACTGACATATGTGAATAATGCATTTAGTAATTTCTATTCTTTTCTCCATATTCCTAAAAAACATTTACTTGTGTCCAAACATTTCTGAGCAAAGGCACTACAAAACAACACACCTACAMAGAGTAAGACCCAGACATTTTCAGGTCCTGTGTTCAGACACTTGAGTGAAATTAATACTAATTGAAATGCWGATGGGTCTAAAGAGTGAGAGTTACCCACACACTGTAGCACAGCTYGTAACATAATTCAACTTATTAAAATAACAGAATTCAATTTAATTGGACAGTGATGAAGTATGATGGTGAGGCACKGGAAAACACTGCCCAGAGAAGTTGTGGATCCTGGAAGTGTTCAAAACAAGATTGGATAGCTCTGAGTAACCTGGTCAGAGGGGTTGGAGATGATATTTAAGACCCCTTCGRACTCAAGCCATTCTATGATGACCTCAGAATGCCACAACAGAATTTCYCCCACTTCCTCCTTTCTGAGACAGTTTATACAGATCATTTACACAGAACCCAGTACTTTCTCCCATTCCAAAAGAAACCCCATCACAGCTCACCATTTCATGAATTTCATTTCAAACAGTTAAAATTACTTGGATCCCACTCAACTGTTCACTTCTCAACTATATTTTAAGTACATTGTTATGCACCTCTCTAAGTTCAGAAGCATATTCAATTAATTCCAGCTGACCACTGGGACAGGTTCAATGTCTTYAAGAAAGCAAGTAATTAAATTCATACTTGACTCCAAATTTTTCAGACTGATACTGTACCCCTGTACYCTAATGTTCAGGAAGAGAGGCTTGTCTGTAGCACCTGAAGTACCTACCTTTGGTCTGGTGTCCATGACGTACATGTAGCGATTTGAAGGATTTGCTTTACTGATAGCTTGCAACATATGCTCATCTTCCAGGCACCTGGCACTGAAACCTGAGAGAGGTTGACTGCATCTGCAAATTGCAGCCTACCAGAGAAAACAAAGAACAGATCAGCATCAGTTTAGTACATGTACTTGAAGTGCTTTGCAAAATCTCAAAAGACGATGAAACAAATTGTTTCATTCAGCAGACAGCACCAGCAAACTGAATAAGGTTCACGTGTTTCAACTTTTTAAGCACATTTCYTGGAAACCTTAAAACACAGCACCTACAACTTAAATCTATCAGTTTATATAATAGACATAAAAATTCACAAAAAGTACAGGTTGAAAAATTACACTTTAGGAAAACAAGCTATTCCCCTRATATGGAATGAATTATGTGTGGTTTTACTAAAGCAGGTATGATTTYATTACGGCAAGTGAAAYTTGTTATTATCTAATGTCATTTTTGTAATGTAATTCTCAGTGATATGCTGTGTTTCAGATACGTTGTATTTCTTCCAATGTTCAAATAATAATGTAATTATGTACAAATCTATCTAGTAGCTTCACATTCACCAGTTAAATTCTTTAACTCAGCAAGATGACAGTCGTTCTCTCCTTCCACAGCTGAGACAGGTATGTGCTGCTTTACACCACCCTCTGCAAAATCTTATTTCCTACCCTGTAGGGTCTTTTTACCTTGCAAATAACTCCTTGAAGAACCAATTCTATTMTTTTGTTGGTTCACTGTTGTTTTTCTTTGAGGTTTTTTCCCACCATTTTGACCTGACAGACTCCTTAACAGAAAGCTATCTTTAGTTACCTTAACATTAGTTTCTGAAAACTTTAGGAGATTCAACTGATTATCAGCTGATTACTTAAGGATTTCTTTTAAACTGGTTGAGGTTACTCAGCATCCTCTTAAGCACCACTCAGCTGTATTCAGGGCTATCCTGAATCACATCCTTGCAATACACGTCACTGTATTTGAACCTCCTTACCAACCCTTGAACTACTGCCAAGTGTTGAGAAATACTTTTCAGCATATTTCCAGTAAAAGGAAGTCACACTAATACCTCTTTATTTTTATGATAATATGACAACACTGGGAATCTTCCTTTGCTTCTGAACTTGGAGCTACCAACAATTATGGGCTTGCTTGCAGTTCTGGGAACATAAAGTTCTCTAGGATAGGTTTCACAAATCTGAAAAACAATGGACAGAAAGAATTTTATGGGCAAGGCAAAAGACTATCCTAGTTTTATTGTATTCAATTTGACAGATGCCAGGTGAATTAAGATACAAAGGATAAGCACTACCATAATTCTTTMCACACACATAAATAACTCAAAGGAGACAAGCCATGGATACAGTAGCACAAACTGGTACCCAAGTTACACAGTCAAGCATCCCTACACCAGCATTCACTCTCAAGAATGCAACTCTGCAGTAGAAATGCTAAGAATGTGTTTCAATTAAAATACTGAGACTTCCTTATTTTTATTTAATATTTGCAGATTACAAAGTAAGATTAAATCTAATCTCAGAATCAGCCACACCACCATGACCAGCACTGCCAATGCTAATGTAGAATCCTGTTCAGTTTAGAGAGAGATCACAAAGCTGCAGAGCACATGAATTACAGGGGCTGGGCTTCAAACAGGTAAGTATACTCTAGCAACAACCCCAAAGAACCCATGTATCCATGCACACATACTGTCTCAATGAGGCCTTGGGAAACAACTTCAATTAGGAGTTGTGAGATTGCACACTGATTCTCCTCTACGTGCAAGTTTTTGCTTATTTGGCAAGCCAAGRGATTTCATAGTATTAGGCTGTTTTCTATTGGCCTCATCAGAGGATAAAGCAGAAAYAGATGCAGAGAAGAACATGTTTCCACTACAACACTTACCTTGTAATCACGATTTGCATCAGACAACTGCCAGTAAGCATTTGGTATTCCCATTCTCTTATACTCTTCTGCCAGATCAATMAGCTGCCAACCTTTGACTTGCTCAGACTCATTTTGTTTTGGATTATAAGAAAAGGCATAAAGTTCTTCATATTTTGCTAAAAGATAAAGAATATGTAATGRAGAAAAAGTCTCAGGCTTCAAGATTCACAGAAGCAAGACTAAATAATAGATACTCGACATGCCTGAAGTATCTTTTCTGCAACTATCCCACAGTTAACTGATACARTTACAGATACTTAGAGGTGGGTTATGAAAGTTTTCCTGAGTGTTCTTGACCTATTTCAGAAGAGACATTTCTAAAGTCGTAATGAGAAAGCACAGGTCACAAAATGAAGACTGACAAACTTAAAGCAAAAGGCAGAATTAGTAGAAGGAATTGAAAGTCACAGGAATTGAAATAACAAACTATTTTCAGAGGCAAGAACTGAAATTTACATATATTGACCTTAAAAATATTAAGTTTTAAAATTCCCCTTAAAAAAACCCTCAAAAATGTTGTTCTTCCCAGCATGGTATTTAGTTACCACAGATGACATTTTGCACTGTTCTAAACACAAAGCAGAAAATACAAAGACCATACTAAGTGACAGAATCTTTCGTAAAGCTGAACTGGTAAAGCTATTCTAGCACCAAAATTAGATCTTTATTTTTGAAACTGCATGAAATTAKTAAAAACTGATTTGCTTTGTGGGTTTTTACCTATGGAACACACAAGAGAGACTATACACATTTATACTCAAAATTTCAGGAATAATACTGGAAATGCAGAAAAGATGAAGAKATCTCTCATTCTGTTAAGGAATATCAGTGACCTACAAAAGTCAGACAACACAGCCTCTGAATTTTTATGTTGATTAATATTTAATCAATAAWATTATTTATATACCAAATCCATGTAACACTTGACATAACATGTTAAAAAAAAAAATAAAAGAGCCATGGATTTACACACAYGCCAACTTGTTGTCTATGCATATACTGCAAAGTCTTTTATAATTACAGGTATTACCTGTTCTTGAYAGCTGAAGCAAAGAGTTATAAATGTCATGACAATCTCTCTCTCTGGGTACCACAAAGTGAACTATCCTGAAGTTCTTGCACTGGATGACAAGGGGGCAGCCGGAAGTAGTCAAGGGAAGTTTTTCCACTGCAGCAATGTGATGATGTAGTATCTGTGACATACAAAATCTCAGAGAGTAAGCATGCTGATGAAACTACTACTATTTAGGCCAGCAGATGTAAGACACATTAATCAATGCTGAATACGGATTTTGACTAATTTTGTCAGTCAGTTATAAAAAGAAATACATTTAGAGGCAGAAATCCAAGAACACCATTTTGATCAGGATACTAAAATTTATAAAAATTTAATTATTCTTTTCCGCCCTTTAAAGAGTTACCTGACATTTGTAAGAAACAGTAAATATCCTCCTAAATGCAAAAGTGAGATGCAAAACTGCACTGTGGTTGTTCAGTTTTCTTTTAACTTTGTAAACTAACAGGCTTATATCTCATTAGGCAGTGTCCAGACAGGATAKCTACTTTTTTAAGGATCTACAGGACCATACGTCAGAATTTTCAGGAAAAATAAAGCAAGTCAGGGAAAACAATTCAAAGTCCTAAACATACAGAAGATCCAGAAAATTAACTAATAAAGTTTCATTATTTAACATCTACAGGAGAGAATAAAAACATCTGTTGTATTACCTATTGTGTTATGTAAACATGTTAGTCTTATAGTTAGAGGGTTTTTGACCACTTTAATAAAGACTGTCACAACAATGGACATACAAAAGCCATCCACAGATTTATCTCTAGGGCAAATCTACATAGAATTTAGGTAAACACATGGAAAGTAAGAGCTGTTCACTGTGGGAAGAAAGGCACAGATACATTACCTCAACTGAACAAGATGCTCTTGATGGAATTTCAATTACCTCACTGAAGCAATCAAATCCTCTTAAGCATTGATCAGTATTTCACATGCATCTGAAAACTACACTGCCAAATATGCATTTACAAARAGACTATCTTGCAGATATTACAATAATTATACTTGGTACTTGCATTATCATCAGAAATGCAGTACTTGGAGTATAGGTTCAATTTCCCCAAAACAAAAGGGACAGTAGTCATAGGGACATGCATAGGGACATGCAAGCAAGTAATGCTTCTGAATCATGTTCTCCCCAAAAACTCATTTTGTATGAAAGGATAACAGTTTGGTTTGTACAAAGTTGTATGCCGTATCCAAGAACAAATAATAGAAAAATTAATTTTCCTGAAAGCTTAGTCAGATAACTATGATACCAGATTAAAGGTAAACCAGGAAAATACATCTAAAGAAAAAAAACAAAAACATAACCACAGCTAGGGAGATGGTATTTCATCCTGGARGATCAAAGACTTAAGGCACTAACCCAAGGCAGGTGGCTGGGCTCCACTGGTAGCCACAACTTGATATCCACATGCATGCCATCAGGACACCGAGCACAAAAACCAGTGGGAATTACTGTACTACCCAGCCTTAATTGCACAACCCTGGTACTGGTCAACAAGAAGTCGCAGATCCATCTGAAATCTTTTATTCCAGAGATGAATACTTGTGAAGAAACGGCTGTTATATAGCTCTAAAAAAGTGCACATTATCTTTAATATTCGACCAAACCAGAGATTGTAGGATTTTTGCTATCTCATTTAACCTAGATAGAATGTAATTACAAGGTAAGTTTACTCTGAAATTTTAAACCTGATGCTTAACCTATGTATCAGTCTCCCACTCCTGCCTCAGAATTATGGTAAAAGTCAGTTATTTAAAGAAAACCACCACAGATGCATTCAGGAATACAAGTGAAAGCTACAGAAGAAATTACAGCAGCTTGAGGAAAAGTCAAACTTTTCAAYGTGACCTAATTTCAACTGTAGCAGTGTCACGCAAGAGTATAATCTGTGAATCATTAACTTATTATGATACCATGACAGAGGAGAGTAGAGGCAACAACTAAGAACATTTTWGTAAACAAATTCAACCTCAGATCAGGAAGAACAAATGCATCTGGAGAACCCATGCCTTTGAGCCACAAGCATTCATTAACCTTACCCATGTCTCTCTCTGGCTTGAATCTATGAATAACAGATGAGTTGCTGTAAGGTACAGAGTTCCCGTCAGTGACTTATTACTGGTGCTGAACCTATCCAGTAATTTCACTTGCTCTACCTGTAAAAAAAAAGCGGAGAGTGGAACAAAACTTGATTTTGAACTTTTGCAGAAATTAAAATCCAAACTTAGCAAAAGCTTTGTCAGTTCGTGCAATAATTTTGAAAATGGTAGGAAACAACAGAGCACACACAAGGCTATTTGGGCAAACTGCAGTGGTCACAAACTTTGAGAAGACCAACTAGTTAAAATATCCTGTTTCAATACAAAAGCTTGTATATTGAGGTTTTTTTAGTTTCTTTTTTTTTTAAAAAGTAAGAATTATTAATTACTAAGCTTCTATGCTGCTTCCCCAAAATACAGCCAACACACACTAACAATTTCCTGTTATTGAGATGCCAGCACTGAATTAACAGCTGATCTCAGCAACATGCTTTATTGGCTGTCTGCARACTCAAAGCGATAAAGATTATGCTCTCCCGACTTCAATTTTAGCTATGTACTGTCTTTTATAAATTCCCCAGCTTCAAAAATYTATACTATTATAGCTGTGCCTCATAGTCAAAATACACTCTTAATGAAATGTAAGCATTATACTAATAATTACARAAACCTCCTAAAAATTCAAGGACTGTATTGGCTTTGGAAATAGATAATTCAAGCTTGAGTCTTGCAAGGGCAAAGRACTCCTGGTATTCCATCAACATTGTTATCTCAACCCTACGGAAAACATTTCAAAAGAAAAATTATTCCTAGATAGCCTGCATTTTATCTGCTGCTCCTAACTTCATGGGCTCCACAGAGTGCTTTATTTGAACTAAGGATTATACAATTCTTTGTGTGCAAGAACAGGAAAGRAGTGTGGCAAATGGCATATCTGCAYGCATTCCTCTATTTCTTGGCAGCAGTGTCTCATTAATGCCAAGTTAGGGCTCTGTGCTACCATTAAATGCAWGGCAGAACTCCAAAAACTTCCACACCAGGACTCAGAGGAGGCAACAAGGAGAGCCCACATCTACTGTGCTGGTGTTAAGCCATTTTTAATTCCTATGCACAAATGCATTTACCTACTAAAGGCACATTAAAAAAAAAAAAACCCAGAAAAAAAAATCAGGTATTTCTTATGATCTACAAAGGCCTAATTTTGCTTTTGAAAGTTAAAAAGAACAACTTAATGAATACAAAATAGAATGAAGAAAATACAAATAGATACTAGAAATCAGCATTACTATAATATTCTAGATTTCAGTTTAGAAACCAAAAAAAATGGAAACTATATGCATTTGTACCTCAAAATACATTATGCTGAAACCACCAAGGTATCTGTCCTCAGGTATAGAGTAGCATAAGTGAATACACCAGAGCCAAAACACAGAATTCATACTGGGCAGATCCGCAGCCATAATCGCTCAAGTACCTGGCAGTATCTCCCCAGCAAATTCAGAAGAGCACAGAAACTGTTCAAGCTTTGTTCCAGTAAAACAACCAACAAAGTGCTGGGAAAAGGTTTCCTTCTCCTCCCTATAAGAAGGCAACTTTTCTCAAAACTGTATATCTACATTAGATGAGGACAAGCATCAATGCTCCAAGYTTCACTTACACAGGTAAAATCTTCAAGAATTCTCAAAGCTAAGTTGTAGCTATACCTTTMTTAAAGACAACTGACATATAATTTAGATTCAGCCTCCATAGATTCATTTAAACTTGACTCATTCCAGCTTTAATGGGTACTCAGCTTATTGTACACTTTTTCCTTTGCCATTTAATTTGATTTAGCAGCCAAACTAAGCAAAATTTTCTGTCTCCAGTAGAAAATCCATCAGTATTTTCACTGCAACAGATTTAACTTCAAACATGCAACAGATTTTACTTAAGAATTTTCAGTCTTTTCTACTACATTTTGCTTTTAAATGTCCTTAAGGATGCTTTAAAGATTCATTGCAAAACCACATATTCTTATTCTTAATTTCACCACCATATTTAATAAACTGAGTTTCATCACTTGTTCCTGCTCAAGTATAAAACTCCCAGAAGCTATTTTTAAGTTGATCTCACTTTCTTATTCAACATAAATCTGTTGAGCAGTTTAATTTCACAAAAAGTCAAACTTAATTTCAGGTATCTGTGCTGACAGTTCTAAGAAAAYTTTAGCTTCAATATTTCCAGCAAACTTAAATTGGGGGAGGTATAAAACCTATTCCATCACCTTCTCCTGGGGATAACAGCTACCCTGCACAGTAGTCAATCTGTGCAAGACTGTACTGTTATTTCAAGTTTATTTCTATAACTTTAATCAACTAACTTGAAGAAACAGGAATGCCGCTGTCAGATTGGAAAAAGCAGGGATGTCTCAGRACAGTTGGCAAGAGATTCAACTYGAACTTACAYACAAACTGAACTAAGACAGTTGCAGGATGTAATTTACTTTTCTTTCTTCCTATACCTGTCATGCTTGCTTACATGCATTTTAATGCCATCAGGATTTTCAATAAACCCACAGCTTACAAAGAGCCATGCAATCAACACATTTGTAACAAAAAAAAATTACGCTATTTCTAACCATTAAATTGATTTTTTAGAACGTATTTTTCTTTTATATGAACTATGAAAACAATTACTTCAAGTACTAAGTCTTGTATCTTACAAACTTGTCCAGAGCTCAGTTATATTGTTACATTAAATATTTTTTTTCCCCTAGCAAGGCCCCAAAAACATGCAGAAACTCAATCTGATGCAAAGAAGTCAGTGACCTGCACCCTTTCTAGTCTCAGTTTCAGGTCTGAAATTTAAATGGCTACTCTGATCAAGACTCTTCAGCATTAGTCTAGTTTTCATTTTGAAATCAGCTACTGAGTGTAACAATACAATATTAAGTTTCCAAGCAAGGACTTTCATGTTTATAAATAAACCGGCTGATAAAGAAACTTTATCTCCAATCTGTCAGYATGGTGCAAGATTAATAAAGAGTCACTAACTCTGAATTTCAGCAGAGACCTTCCTTCTGTTTCACATATACACAAGTGCATGAAAAAAATAAAAGTAGTTATACCCATTTTATAAAAGTTATGCAAGCTATTACTCAAGAMATTTAAAAGCCTGTTCCTTTACATAATGATTGGCCATAAATCCACTATTTGGACACAAACTGTGAAAACTCCCTTTCTAAACATATYTATAAACCTACTCTAAAATCGGACTACCAGGTTCAGGAATTAATCGCTTGACAATTTCCAGGACCCAACAGAGAGGGGGAGTCTTTTCAGCAACCTTTGCAGTCAGGGCCGATGAACAAGGTGAGAAAAGTACTGTTAGAAATTTAATTCTATAAAAGCTGTGACTTAAARACTTGMTTAAAAATTAGTCACAAAGRCCTTTTTGCACCTTCGTTATKCAAGTAAAACTRACATACGTATAAYAGAAAACAAAAGTCRGRGAAGTCCAAAATGCCAAYTACAACTTAGCTGAGATTTTTAATWGCCTAATACGTTATACATGSACTGCGTCCTTAACAACACACACCGGAGGCTCCAAAAAGGAAGAAACAAGTCAGATGTTTTCACAACCGATTTGCCTCCAAAATTACAAAAACCTGAAGGGAACCATATTCAGAGCACACAAAACAACTGCAATCCCCTCCCAGCTCGCGTCTTCTGTTCCCCATTCCACCACAGAAACACCCCACACCAGGATTTTTCGGGTCTTCTCCTTGCGACAGACACGGGGCCCCGCTGGAGCAGCTCGCCCCAAGCTCTCCACCCCTTCCAGCGGCACGGGCCGCTCCACAGTCCCTCGCGGGGAGGCACCGCCACAAAACCGCAGGAGGGAGGGAAAACAACAACGCYCTCTCCCGCAGCGGACGCGTCGGGCTGGGCGGACCCTCCCGGCCCCACAGCTACCGCGGCTCCCCTCCCGTGCCGCAGCGGCGGTAATACCTTGGTGGTACGAATGTGTTCCATAGCGGCGCCCGCTCGGCCGCAGCCGCCCCTCGCCCGCCGCCGCCGCCACAGAGCCGAACCGGCGGCCGCTCCGACAGCGCTTCCGGGACGGCAGGGGGCGGGGCCAGCTCGGCGCGCGCCCTGCAGCGCCCCCGCGCGGCCGGCGTTGGGAATGCCTGAGGGGCGGGAAGGGCTGAGGGGTGGGAATGGCTCCAGAGCGGCGTGGGAAAATGACTGGGGGTAAAAAGATATCGGTAAGAAAGTTACAAGGGAAAACACGGTTGTTACTCCTCGTGTGGAACGCGGTCGGCGCACCCAACCTCCCACACCAAGCACAACCTGAGGGAGACTAAACGGAGGGCGGAGCAGACGGGAGACCCCGCGGCGAAGCTCAGTCGAAATTCTTGCAGCCGTGGGATCTCGGTGGTGTTTTCCCGCTGATAAGATGAGCAGCGGCTGAAAACCAAGGGAGATAAAGAAAGATGTCCTGCTGTTGAACCAGCAACCATGGCGAAATCACTCTTCTTGGACTGATGCATGTTCCCATCACCAGGTTGTCTCAGGTACTGTCCTGAGATACCCACCCTCAAGATACGACCACCCCTCCTAAGATGTATGACTAAAGTCACTCAATCTCCACCTAAACATAAAGAAATAATATAAAAGTGAGTTAAAAATGAGAAGTTAGGGAACCTGACTGACTCCATTGTAACTTCTGGGATGAGTTGATGGACAGAATTTGTCTTCTTTCCCATGGTGGTGTCTAAGAACCGTACCAGTGCATGCTGAATGATTATCTCCACCTAGCTTTTGTTAGGGGTTACAGCTTGTTAATATATTGCTTTGTATTAGTACATTGCTTTGAATACATTTTTGTAGTCAGATACTATTACCGGCAATCCTCAAACCTTAACCTGTCACAATCTCATTAATAAAGAGTGTTGTTCTGTAACCTATTAGTGTCAGTCCTTCACATGGGCGCTGGCAGTCGCTGGCAGTGGGTGAAGATGTGGAGCAGGTGTCCCTGCAGTGTGACCCTGAACAGTCACACTCCGATCTAGTGAAGGGTGAAGGGATCTGCACAGTGAAGGGCCCCCATAATGAGATGGTGACAGACTGGTTGGGCACAAGGGTCTTGGTTTTCCTAGGGCACTGACAGACTAATTAAACATTAAGGCCTTGAGAAAAATCTCCCATTTTCACGTGATAGGCAGGAATAGCTGAGATGGAGGAATGGCTGAAGGTTATCCTGAGGTATGGAGCTGCAGGCAGGGGGCTTCAGCAGACCGGGGAGGAACAGCGCTACGCTGTGTCCTGCAGTGCCCCAGGGATTTCCTGTAAGATTCGTAGGGCAGGAAGAGCTGTGGCTGCTGTTCTGAGAGCCACGAGGCTCAGTGCTGGCCATGAAACCTGGCCTGGCAGCCAACCCAGAGGGAAGAAGGCCCTGGATCCCATAATGGTGAAAGGAATAAGCTGAATGTGTCTTTTCAAACAGACTATGTGAATCTGCTTGTAGATAAGAACTTAGAGTGAAGTAACAGAAAAAACTACTAGTTCTAGAAAATGTTTCTAATCAATGCAGACTGTTACTCAACCAAGGCCATGTTAAATTCCTGAACCTAGAGAAAAAGAACAAAGTTTTAGTAGAATTATGAACAGTTTCTTTTTCTTTCTTTATATAACAAAACTGAGGTGCGTATTAAAGGGAGGGCACAGAGTACGTGATTTGGGAAGTCTGTACCTTCCAAGTACCTCAACAATGGGGAAAAGGAGGAAGGTAATGGGAACTTAGGATAAAAAAGGGATTGTGTCCTCCAACAATTTCAGAGACCCCATGGGAAATGCCCCATGGCTTCTCCCTTTATTCAAATAAGGTTACCGGACTTCTCTGTCTTGTTTTTGGACATAAGCCTCTGGCATTGTGATTAATCTTCCTAACAACAGGGTGACAGTAGGTGTGTGGGAAATGAGCCATTCCTGTTTACCTAGGCTTCTGCTTCAGTCTGTGAGTCTTGCACGTGGGGATATTCCTGGAAGATAGTTCTTTTTGTTGTCTCTGTAGGTGCCTAGTCCAGGCTCTGTGTGCTTAAGCAGGGCCGGTCAGAGCCAGTTGCCCAATACCATGTCCAGGAAGATTTTAAATATCATTAAAGATGGAGACTCCACCACTACTTATCTGGGCAACCTAGTAAGTGCTCAGTCACTCTAGCAGTGTTTCCTGATGTTAAGATGAAGCCTCTCATATTTCAGTCTGTGCCCACCTCCTCTGATCCTGTCACTGGGCACCAATAGCAAGAGCCTCTTTGAGCCCTTTCTTCAGGAATTTATGTTTATTATATAGGTTCCCCTCGAGCCTTTCCAAGATGCAGACTGCCAGCTCTCTTGGCCTTTCCTCATATGAATGGCGTTTAAGTCTTGCGTGCAAAAGTGTGGCCTCATTGGGGTGCCTTCCCCAACCTACTGGCAATGCTTTGCTGGTTGTGGCTGCACCTGAGACAACAGTGTGCACCTCAAATCCTGGATTCAGTTTTGGGCCCCTCACTACAAGAAAGACATTGAGGGGCTCGAGCATGTCCAGAGAAGGGCAACCGAGCTGGGGAAAGGTTTGGAGCACAAATCTGAATAAGAACAGCTGAGGGAGCTGAGGGTGTTTAGCCTTGAGAAAAAGAGGCTCAGGAAGGACCTTATCACTCTCTACAACTTCCTTAAAGGAGGGTGTAGCCAGGTGGGGATCTGATTCTTCTCCTAGGTAACAAGTAACAGGGTGAAAGGACATAGTCTTAAGCTGCATCAGGGAGGTTCAGGTTGGAAGGACCTGGAACCCAAACTCCAGAACCTCCCAACAGCAGGAAATTCTTCACAGAAAAAAAAAAAAAAAGGGAAAAAAAAAAAAAAAAAAAACAAAAACCAAAAAGCATTATTAAACATCAGAACCGTGGACAAGTCGCCGTCCCTTGAGGTGTTTAAGGGACGACATGGCACTCAGTGCCATGGGCCAGTGGACTTGATGCGACGATCGCAAAGGGCTTCTCCCACCCGACTCCCGCCGTTACTGTCGCTTTAAGGGCCGTCGGGCCGTCCCGTGGTGCACTGCGGCGGGCGCGCGGAGGGGAGCGTGGCCGGCGTCCGTCCGCGCGCTCGGTGCCGCCGCTCGCTCTGGGGATGATGGCGGGCGCGATGCGGCGCTGAGGGGCCGCGACACCACGACCACCGACCGGCCGCCCGACCTACTCACCCACCGACCCGGCCCTCGCTGCCGGCACTCGGCCCCGCTCTCCTGCTGCTCCCGCCGCTGCCGCCATGTCTGCGGGCTTCTCCTTCGGCTCCACGGCGGCCGCCGGGGGAGGAGGAGGAACAGGCGGAGGTTTTTCCTTCGGAACCGCCACGCCGAGGTAACGCGGCGCCCCCAGCCCTCTCAGTTCGGCCATGCCGGCAGCCCCCCGCGGCCTGGGGCTGCCATGCGGGCTCGGGCCCTGCCTGAGCCGAGGCCCCCGTGGTGCGGAGGGTCGGGGCGGCCCGTACATGTGGGAGCGAGTCATGCCCCGGGCTCATATCTCGGCGCCTCGCCCACTCCCCGAGGGTCCCGGGGCTCGGCATTCCTATCGCGGACTTGGTGCGCGGGCGAAACGGCTGCCGCGGCCTCCCTGCCTTGTCTCCGTCCCGACCTGCGCCTTCTGCATAGACGCAGGAAGCAATCTGTTTTTAATAATGAAGGGAGTTGCTCTTCTCATTGTGCTTTGGTTTGGCTTTGGATGTCTCCCTTCACGGTTCACCCTGCTGCTCAGGAAGCAAGATGTGAACCGTACTTGCATTTAGCTTTCTCTCAGAGTCAGCCTGAGTTCGTGTGCGCGGCGTGGAGCACGCTGATATCAGAACCCACATGTTCAGTGTCCAGAAGTGATGTTCTGTATATGCTTTGAAGTTAGGTTCAATCATACGTTTTCTGACAAAAATAACCTTGTGTTTGGTGTACCGTATCTTGGAGTGAAAGGAGAACTTTGATGTGAATGTGATATACGACAGGGTCTGTACAAAAATCATTATGATTTTGGTTTCTCAGAATAACAGGTAAGTCTTTCTTGTTGGTGGGGCTTTTTCCCGTTTTCTATTTGTTTTCACACAACTGGACTAGCAGAGCCTGTTTAATCTGACCTGCCTACTGTTGCACCTCTGTTGAAGATTTGAACTGTTGTGGTACCTCGTGTCAGAGACTTTCCCAAACATGATCAGGCAGAATCTATCACCGTAGTGTAAGGTCAGTGGACGGGGGCTCTGCTCAAGAGAGCTTCACTTACGGAGATACATTTGGAAACACTTCTGAGAAACGTCAGGAAATAGCATATTGAGAGAGAGAGAGAGAGAGCAGGATGTCTGGATCTAAAGGTTGTCCATTTAATTCTTGGATTAAATGGCAGTATTGCTTCTTTGGAAGCCCATAAGAGAGGGAACAAGTATTCTGAGTTCCTCATAATAATGTAAATGTAGTGGTCATGACAGATTGATGACTTTCTTGTGTTACTTCTTCTTGTTCTTTGGGGGATCTTATTTGGGGATTTGAGGATTTTGAGTTTTTTCTCTCGTGGTAGTTTTTTTATTTGTTTGCTTGTTTATTTTAACTCTACAGTAAAGCTTATGTTGTGGGCTTCTTAAAGAGGTGTAGCTCTTTTGCTTTCCTAAGGTAGAATAAGCAAGTTAAAATAATACTTGTTCATTCAAAACCGTTCTTCTAAGTATACTGAAATAAGGGAAATTCTTTTATCTTATTGATCTGCACTTGTTGAAAACCGCCTATTGAAGTTAAATATTTTGATTTGGGGTTTTTTTTTGTGTTCTAGCTGCCTTCTTTACCTCTCAGAAAAAGCTTAATAGGTGTTAAGTAATAGCAGTATAGTGCTTTATATTTTTATGTATTTATTTACTCTTGCAAGCAGGACCAGTCTTCAGGGCCGTTGGTCGGGGAGAATCACAGGGGAAGGGGCCTTTTTCTGCTTCTTGAGCATGCCTGTGAGGAAGTTTGCTTGAGAATATATTTGAAACTGTAAGAAGAAGCTGTTCTAAGATGATATTGCCAGGTGTTGGGGAAAAAGGAATTTTATTGTCTAGTCCAAGCATAAATGTTATTCCT